CCCACCCCCATTCGGTCCTAACTGCATCCTCGTCTCCCCTTTTAGTCGCCTCTTACGACAGGCAGGGGCTACCCCGGGGCTATTCGATAGCGGCACCCGTACGCAACGCGGACCGAAACCTCCCTGCACCTTGTTTTGTGGTGCCTATGGCCTTTGGTACCAATGGCTTTAGCACCTCTGGCCACTCCTCCTCATTCATCGCAGGGGAGGGAGTACAGCTAACCATGACGGTCCGCCGCTCCCTCCCCGCATTATCACCAGGCCCTTAGGTGGGCCGGTAGTCGGCGTGCTCCTCTCCTTTGGGGCACACCTGCTCTGCCTCGTTGGGATCCGCCAGGGGGGTCGGCTTCCCCCCTTCGGATCCGTTCGGCCTCCTCCTTCTGCAGCATGACATGCTCGCAGAAGGAGGAGAACGCCTCCCAAGCCTCCTCCCTCTCCGTGGCGGCTTTGATTACCGCCGGGAGAGAGAGGTTCGCACCTATAATGTTGGAGAGGGCTCGGCGCTCGTTTGCCCACGCTGGGCAAACCTCCAGAGTGTGCTGCGCCGAGTCCCTCTCCCCGTCACAATGGTGGCAATGCGCGGTTTGCTCGCGCCCTATCCTATGCAGGTACTCACCGAAACAGCCATGTCCGGTGAGTACCTGCGTCGTCCTATAGGACGCCCGTGCCCATGAGCGGTCGAGCCACTCATCGAAGCGGGGGAGGATGGCTTGGACCGTGCGCTGGCCCGCTCGGTTTGGCTTCCTGAGCCAGGTCCACCATTCCTCCCTTGCCTCCCTCTTTATCTGGAGGCTGAGGAGCCTCCTCATCCTCTTTGTTACCGGGATCCCCCCAGCCTTGAGATCCGCGACGCGCTCATAAGTTTGAGCGTGTGCCGCCGCCTGGATCTCAATGGGGGGCATCCCAGCCACCAATGTGGCTGCCGCGTGGGAGACTGTACGGTACCCCCGTATCGCCCTGATGGCCATGCGACGCTGTGTTTTGCGCAGCGCCGCAGTCGCCTTTTTGTTGCCATTCAGGGCGGCTGACCAGATGGGGGCACCGTACAACGCGATCGAGTTGGTGACGTTCGCGTATAGTCGTCTCGTTCTCCCACACGGGCCACCCAGGTTGGGCATTAGGCGCGACAGTGCATTCGCCGCACCATCCAACCTGGGTGTCAGCCTCTTGAGGTGCTCCTCAAACCTCCATAACCCGTCAATGTGGAGGCCCAGATACTTTAGCTGGGCCCCCACCTGGACACGGACGTTCT